TTTCCTGCAGCAGGTAATATCGATACAAAGCGCAGGCAAGACCTCAGCTCCGAACACGTTGATATGCTGACTTTTCTTAATGACAACCACCATCATAAAAGTGAGGTGTAGTATCTTAGTACATTGGTTTAATTTGTGTTGAATGGTAAATAACATTTTAAAAACAGCTGAAGCTTGTAGAAAACCATCCGAAAAATTACTTTTATTTATTTAAATTTATTGTTACATTTATTTTAACTGAACAATATGCAGCTTTTTTTATTTTATCCTGAAAATCTTTTAATAGATAATGTAATTACTGGTAAAAATCTACATTTTGGTTGTAACTGTTAAAAGTTGGAATATAGTGCAGCAACTTTAAAGGGTTGAATGCCATAAAGTTTATTGTTATAGAAATATACCTATGATTGGCAGTTTTGTAGGACTAATACTAATACTTAGAGGAAGGTCATGTACACTATATTGCCAAAATTATTGGATCACACCACCAAATCAATGAGTTCTGGTGTTCCAATCGCTTCCATGCCTGCAGGTGTATAACGTTTGGTGTGGAGAAACTTGACTGGTCTGTATAGAGCGCTAACCTCAACCTTCATGAACACCTTTGGGATGAATTAGAGAAGGCTGCAATTCTAGCTTTCTCATCTAACTATGAACACACTCCTAAACCTTGAGGAAGATGTTTACAGAATAGTTAAAGTTGCTATTGCTGGTATCGGTGGGTCCCATCAACAAACTGGGCCAGCTACAGCATCTACTGTAGCATTATAAAGCAACTTTGCTTAATTTGAATTAAGCTAGAAAATCAGACCCTCTACGTAAAAGCAGAACTGCACAATGTACTATGTACAATAATCACAAATAAACTGACAAAGAAAGAGATGTTCCTACAGCAGTTAGAGCAGTCTGATCTTCACCAGCAACACAGGCATGGCCCAATAATTTAATCTGCAACTTTTTTCGAAAGAATATTAAAATGGGGAAAAAAATGGAATTATTACATCTAGTATTTCATTTAAAGCTTTATCATATTCTGACAATAAGAACATGGAGAACAGTCATGATATTTTGTGAAATATATATAAGATGAGAGGGGAGAAGGTGAAAAGCTTAATCTTAAGTGTCTTAGCCCTTCCAACCATTTAAAATGCGAAAACACTATTCCCATTTTTTCCGGTTGCAGACTTATTTCTGTGTTAAAGGAGCAAATAAAAGAAATTGATGGAAAAACTAGGACTAACATGTTCTGTTCACACAACTAGTTCACATGAATTTAAAGTTAAGACTATGAAAACTAAGTGTCACGATTTGGTTTTGGGTCGGACCAAAGTGCAGACAAGAGCTCGGAGAATTTATCTTTGTAAATCAAAGGTTTATTTACAAAGACCCAAAAAATGCAAAAATCCTGCAGGCATGAACCAGAGTCCAAATACAAAAACTCACAAGAACACTGCAGGTTCCCCAAGGCAAAGAATTCCAGGCGTGGCAAAATAAACAAAGCATAATCAAGGACGTGGCCGAGGGGTGACGAGCAACAAGGAACCAGCAACAAACAATGACACCAAACCAACTAATATACTGTGGGGGAACAAAGAGCAGGTAATCAAAGGAACAAGGAACAGGTGCGACAAGGAGGCAGGGAAGCAGGAGGAACAGGTGAAACAAATACAAAGACTGACGAGGAGTGAAAAGACTAAATAAACAATAAACAGAAAACACAAACCAAGCAAGATAATAAATCAGAGGAGGGAAGGAACAAGAATAACTATGAACTAAAGTAAACAGAGAAACAAGAAAACATAGAAACATCAAAGCAAAATTTAAAACATCAAAAGAGGCCAAAAAACAAAGTCCAAAATGTCACACCGTGACACTAAGCAACAATATGGAATAAAAATATATTGCTGAGTTTTTTAAAAACTGTTTATTCAGGACTTAGTATGGCCTCTCCTTGGCTTGTTCTGAGGAAAACTGTCCAAGAACCATTCAGAAAGTGAACTCAATTGAAGCTGTTCTAATATCAGTTCACAGCTGTTTCAGGTGGAAAACACAAATATGGAACATTTGTACCAGAAACTACCAATCATATAGCTAACCTAAGCTTGTTACAACAACAGAACCCACCTGCTAACGCAATTTAGCTCATCTGTACCTTAAGGAACATGTTAGAAAGGTTAGCAGTCACTCTCAGACACGCTTCAAATTCATTTTAACATGAATTAATTAATTTAAACATTTCTTTACATATGTTGGATCAGCCGATTGTGGCGCATTGGTATGCAGGGTTCACTTTCCTTTTTGGAGCAATTGATTGACAATTGACGATTGGTAAGAGGTTCATCAGACTGAGTAACAACAGCGTCAGGGATCTTGGGTTGTTTATATAGTTTATTTTCCATGTTGAGCATGAGAAAAGGGTGCACGTTGTTGCTATTATTTATTTGCCCCTTAAGCAATTGGTGCCTGAGGGAGTATCTTTGGGCAGGACAACTATTAGTTGTGCACTCTGCAAATTTGGGATTTATGGAAAGTCCCCTGTGTAGTTTGCACAAGCCATGTAGGGTAGACAGCAAACATTTTTAGGGACATGCTGTGTTTGGATGCTTTTGGAACTAAAGAACTATTGCCTCAACTAAACATAATAGTGGCAGCATCATGCTGTGGGGATGCTTTTATATACTTTTAAGCAGGACAACTACTCTAAACATAGAGCCAGAGTTACAGTGGAGAGGTGTTGATCCAAGCATTTTCATGTGTTCGAAATGCCCAGACAAAATCCAGAACTAAATCACATTGAGAAGCTGTCATTTGAAAATTGTTGTTCCCAAATTTGCTTCATCAAGCTATAAATGTTATTTGTACTTTACTTAACCAGGAAAAGACATATTGAAATTTGGATTCTAATTTACAAGGGTGTCCCGGCGAAGATGACAGCAGCTCAAGATAGCACTAAAAACCGGCGCACGAATATGAAACATGAAAACGTCTCACAATATAAAACATCAAAGGTCACAAAACTAAAGCCAAACTTTAACAAGTCCATCAACATGTTCAATAGTACAGCTGAATAAATCATCAAATAACAGTTGCTTTGAGATGCTTTTAAATGTTAAAATGTTAAATGAAATGAGTCTGAGCTTCAGCTATTTTCCAAATAAGAAGAAGCAAAAATCCCAGTCTCCATATGTACAAAACTGGTAGACCTACCGCAAAAGACTTATGTATGTATCTGTGTATGTATCTGAAATATGTATCTGTTTCCTTTTACTTCACAAATATGCTCTATGTTGGTGTTTTAGATTACATTCCAGTAAAATGCTGTTTGCAGTTAAATGGTCTGCACTTGCATAGCGCTTTATCAAGCCAGAGGACTGGAGTCATCCACCCAGTCATACACACATTCACACACTTACAGCGGTAGGACAAACCCCTACCTCCTGAGCCACCGTCATTGTAATGAGATAAAATGCAGAAAAAGATCAAGTTCATTCGTAATTCATTTTCCCTTTGGGATTAAAAATGTATTTTTAAATTGATCTTAACTGAAATATACTATTGAACATTTTCTCATTATTAATAATTTATTTGACATACTAGTTTTCTCACTTATTTTCAAGGAGTTAGTGTTTTACACCACAGTGGCAGCTTGTGTTAATATGTCTTTTTTAAAAGAATAGTCAGCTTGTTATCCTGGGATTTAATGAACATCAACACTTATTGGCACATTTTACAGCTTAGATGGGAACAAGAAACTTGAACTTGTAATGTGTCAGGAAATAAAGGCTTTAGTCATTTGCATGTTTCAAAGGGGATGCAACCTTTTAACTGCTGTGGGCACAGAGGTTTAGCTGGTTTAAGTCCAGCAAAAGGTGTGGAAACCATGAGTCAATTTGGGAACACTGGAGAATTAAGCTGAACGAAAATATTCAGCACTGATCCATCAGTTTCTTCTAAATTAGTTTAATGTCCACATGTGTACCGTACCCTTGAAGCAGTTTTGGAAGCAATCCAAAAATTTCTGTTGCAACAGCTCTGCTTTCAAATGCAGATCTATTTAAAAGTTATTTGTTGATAGATTAAGATGTGTACTTGAAATGGCAATGTCATTTAATTTGTACGCCACAAAAAACTGAATTTAAACTAAATTGACTCCTTTCTGCAGTATGGTGCAGTTACTGTAGCTAGACATATTTGTTGAGGGTTAGGGGGTTTGGCTGTCCTTTCTTTCACACCAGCCAAATTCGCTCCAGAGCAAAGGAGGCAGCATGAAGCCCAGACTCCAACTTTGCCAAGTTTCCTCCACCAGCAGCTCTGTCTCCCTAATGCGGTCTCTTCGTATTTCCTACACTGTCTTGCATTAGGACCATGCCAACCTTTCAGGCATACTTTTATTTATGTTTATTCTTGAAAGCTTTCAAATATTGAATTTGCTTAAACTTTTATGTTTTGAGATTCAATTCAATAAATTTTTTTTTATATAGCGCCAATTCACAACACAAGTCGTCTCAAGGCACTTTACATAGTCAATTTAATCTAATTATACAGATTTCCAGTCAGGGACATACACTACAATTTATTCCTAACTATCAAACAGTGCAGTCGCATTCAGTTTATTTTTCAAATTGGTTAAAAAGTTTTCTATTTAAGGAAACCCAGCAGATTGCATTGAGTCAGTAACTTGCAGCATTCACTCCTCCAGGATGAGCATGTAGAGACAGTGGACAGTTGCTTGCATTGACTTTGCAGCAATCCCTTATACTGAGCATGCATTTTTCGCTTATTTTGTAGGTTATAGACTGTAAATCGTCAACTGCAAACACAAATGCATGTGTGAGATGTTGAGGTTTACCCTCTGAGGGTGACATCGAGGTTGTCATCATAATTTGTCACTGATTCCCAAACTGAAAAATATCCTTTACGTTGTTGCATTGAAAAAACCTATTTGTTTCAGCTGTGTTTTCAGAAATTTCCACTGAAATGAAAGTATAGGGGCATCTGTAGGGGGCAACTGTGGCTCAGTGGGTAGAGTATTGGTCTTGCAATCTGAAAGTTGTGGGTTTGATTCCAGCTTCCTCCTGCTTGGTTAACCCCAAGTATGTCTATTGGTCTGAGTATCGATGTATGAAAGTGTGTGTTTTTGATGGGAGCAGGATAAACGTAAGCATTTTGAGTGGTTGATAGGACCAGAAAAGCTCTATATATATTCGGTTTATTTACCATTTATCAAATAAACATGTGACAGATTAGTAAAAACCTTAAACACAAGGTCATTGCATGAAGATCAGGAGTTCTAAAAATCACATAAATCCTGGCTCAGTGCTTTTGTGTTTAGCTATGTTTCTTTTATGAAGCGAGCCATTTTGACTAATGATGATGAAGCTATGACTTAATTAATTTCACTTTTTCTTTTCACATAGAAATTACCCATGGGTCAGTGACTATGTGCTGAACTGTGTTTCTTTCCTGGTTTAAGAAACTGAACAACTAGTTTCTTCCATCATCTTTAACTCTGCATACTCTTTGTTTTTCTTTCCCATAAAAAGAAACCCTCGATTAAGTGCTTCTGTGTTTTGTTGTGTCTCTTTCTCAGAAGGGGTCATTGATGAAGATAAAGGGGCCATTAACTGTTCTTTGGCTCATAGCTTCTATGTTAAGCGATGTTTCTTTTCTGGAACTATTGCTTCATTAAGCTTGTGTACTCTGTTTAACCGACCCATAGAAAGAACCCCCAGAACCAATGCTTCTGTGTTTTTTTTTTGTTCGTTTTTTCTGTGTGTCCTTCCTGTCCCTTTAACCTCCAGCTGGTTGCGGTAGATGGGCGTTCATACTGACCCTGGTCCTGCTGGAGGTTTCTGTCTATTAACAGAGAGTGGTTTCTCTTCACTGTCACCACATGCTTGCTCAGGATGCAGTGATTGATGCAAAGCCAATGACTGTATGGAATCTGCTTGACTTTAGGTAACTTCTTACCATTTTGCCTTAAATGACTAAATCTGACTGTATTGCATAATAACTTTGGACTGAACTGGACTGCATGTAATTGTGTCTAAATCTAAGAACGAATTGAATGTGGATTTACTTGTATTCTATATAAGTAAATATAAATTTCAACAGTTTGTCTTGTAAATTGGCAAGTGTGGGGATGGGCAGAGGGGGTTAAGCGGGAGTGTGGTTAGGAGAACGAGGGAAAGTGGCAGCAAACTTATTTTGGTACATTAAACATGGAGAGTAAGCAGAGCGATGCTGGTAGTTTCGCCACAAATAAATGTTTTGGGGTAGAGGAGTTTTCACCCTCCCTTGTCACCGGAGGTTAAGAGAAGCTTTATGGAGCCCAGCGGGCCTGAACCTTAACAGTTCCAGCCACTGGTGAAAGTGCTGACTCAGCCCTGCCCAAAGCCGGTATTGCCGCGGCAGTGGAGGAACAGTAGAGGGGCGTGAGTGAGACGGTTTTATACCCGAACCAGGGGCTGAGTGTGACTTCAGCATGTCCCTAGCTGTACCATTTGAACCAGTAGGAACAGTCAATTGCAGTAACCACCATTCAACCCTAAGAGGGCAGCACTAAGATGGTTTTAGGACAAATATTACAGAATAAAAAGGGTTACATGTAATGTAAAAAAAATAGCACAGTAACAAAAAGATAGCACCATTAAGGCCCAGTTTATACAGTTTATCTGCAAAAAAAAAGCTGATTTGGGTTTTAGTTCCTCTTTAAGTCTATAAAGTAAAAACCATGTTCTCCATGTTCTATGATAAAACACTGGTTAATGTAATTGTGACCCAAACCATGCATGTTCTGTTATTTGGAGATTCTAAATTTGTTTTATTTGTCATGTTGTGTTTGCAAGCAGTCAGAAATTATGGGTTTGCTCTTGAGCTGGAGAAAAGTGAAAAATACTTCAATATCTGGAGTTAAGATTTAATTTACCATATCTTCCAGGCGCACTAATTTGGAGATGAAAAGTGTGTCTTGAGGTGTTATTTGTTCTCTCAAGAAACTGAAACAGAAGCCCTGTTCACTTGCCAAGAACAATCAAAGGGGTTTTAATGCTCATAGACAGTGAAACAGTGTTTACTTTGACAAATTCATAGAGCTGCTATGGAAAAAAACAGAGCCAGCAATGCAACTTTCAAATGACCTAATAACATATCAGCAAATGACATTAAAGCCATTTAGGATAGCATCAGATTAGAATGTTTTGGACCCATTACTTCTGCTTCTCATTTTCCAGATATACCTGTCTATCATAAAAAGTCAAAGACTTGTACAAATGCCTGCTCCCCGAAATCCACTTTACAAACTAGAAATATGTTGAATTTGGTGACAACGGCAAAAAAAAAAAAATTGTTATGTCTTTCAACCGAGTCAGCAGGACATCTGGCACATCTGGAGACAACATGCCACCCCTGCTATGTCAGCTCACACTGACAGGCAGGGGCTAATGACCTAGAAGAGTTTACAGTCCCACTACATATGGGCCTGTCTGTATTTTTGAATCTGAGAATAGCTGTGTGATTGCATAATGCAGATATGTGTCTGTGAACCTGCAAACACACTTCTTGCCTGATTGTGTCCCCATCCTCAGCTCAAGCTGCTGGACCACCGTGCATGTCTGAGTACATACACACCTCAAGTGTGTTGGAGAAGTGCGTTCCTGGATGGGTAGAGGCTTGGGACTTTTTCTTTTATGCTCATGGAGAGTCCGACTGCATCTGAGCCCGAGGTCTTTCCTGCTAGACTAGTAATTAGGACAGGACATGTTGACCAGTATCACCTTCAGCTGGGACCATTGACAGAACAAGGACAGAAGAAATTATACACCTGGATGCTTCATAGTTTTTTTTTCACTGTTGGTTGATGACCTAAGACCTAAACCTGTTGTTTGACCCATTTAAAGGAATAAATTAATGTCACCTTGTGTCAGAGCTGACCATTGTGGAGAGTTCCAAGCACAATCTCAGCGTTTTTGTGTTCAGATAAAGCACTCCTTTTAGTGAGCACCATAAAAAGCTCAGCATCAAAATTATTTATAATAGAAAAACTGCTGGTTTGTAATTCTTTCTGTTGCAAACTTTACACAGATTATAAGAAAGCTGTTTATAGACAACAAGTTATATTATTTCCTTATTAAGTCAGATGGCTTCTTGAAGTTGAATGACACACTCGATTCTTAACTTGTATGTGAAATTAAGAAGACTAAACAAAGGCCTGTTTTGCAAATTTTTCTTTAACTGATTTATTGCGTCATGCTGCAGCTGCAAACTTCAATTTATTTTATGTGATTGACCAACAGAAGTTGAAAGACTTATTGTGCAGTGTTGTGCTCTCACACTCAAAACAATCTTGCTTACAGATATGCAAGACCATACCTAAAAAGTATGATTCTGCGCTCAGATTGTATTCCATTTGTGCAAATCCTTTTTAATCCTACACTTCATGCCTTAACTTTGTCTTTAAGGATGAACCCTGCGCTCTCAGTTCTGTTTTCTCGCAGACTTTTTTTGGTCTATCTTGGAATGATGTGGTGGTTTGGTAACAGTTCGAGCAAACAGAATGACAGTTCGACTCGGCACCAGTGACTTCTCTGGGCTATGCTTGTTGCTTCTAGAGATATCCATGGGCTTTGAGAACAGAGCTAAGAACGCAGGTTTTACATGCGCGATAAGTAGGTTTTACCATGGGCATTAGGATTCAACCAGGAGCAGTAGCTTTTTGTGCAAAAGCCATTAAATCTGACCTCAGAAACAGTTTCTACATGAGGAGCAGAGCGTATTTGTAAGCCAGCAAAACTTTTTTTGAGAATGAAAGCAGAGTAAGCAGTATAACATCTAGTACAAAAAAAAACATCTGGCAAAAGAATTAAACTTGTTTTCGAATTAGAAATGTATGCTCTGCATGATATCAGGAAAATGTGTAATTACGATACTGTTGCTGAATGTTTAGACGATTAAACCACATTTTCCTGTTTCCTTTCTTTCTTTTCCTTCATTGCAATGCCCCCACGGGTGCTGCTGAGCTTATGCATCTTGGTACATAAAAGTATAAATATCAACTCGAGGGGAGTTGGTCTGTTCAACAGGGCAAACAATTTATTCTCATACCGAATTTGTATGCACAGGAGTCGAAAGACAAAAGCCTTCCAAACACTGCATTCAAACTGTACTGCGATATTTGCGATTTTGCACAAATTGATATTACGATTATGACTGCGATTTGTTATATTGTGCAGCTCCAGCAGTAATAACATTACTGGAACCTCTGTGTCTTGACCTTTTCTTCGTGCTCTTTGACCTGTAGTCCTGCTTTTTAGAAATCCTTTAACAGTTCTCTCATACATCGCAAAATAAATGTTCATCTGCTTCAACATGCTTTACTTTTGTTTATATAGAGAAATACATTGCAGCTAAGGGGGCAATAAATATCCACTTCAGTAAATCACACATCAAGCAATTAAGGCATTTGACAGCCAACGCACCCTCCGCTGTCCCAGGCCCGTCGAGGTTGGCTCCTCAGGCCCCCCTCCTGGCTGAGAAATGCGATTTGGGAAGCATTATCTCAGTGTTTTGTCATCGATTCCCTTGACTGATCGTGGTCCCCGCTGGGCAACAGGCTCTTACTCTTGATTTATAACCAATTATGTGATGATGATTCTGTGCAGAAGGCTGTGAATGGGCTGTGGTTGGTTAGGAGAGTAGTGGGAGCAGAATAAATCACCAAACAGACTCTGAGAACACACTGCAGTCTCTTTATCTCCCTTTGTATTCCTTATCTTACTTTTCCTTTTTTCCCCCTCTAACATTTAAAACCTTTTTATTTTGTCTTTACCTGTTGCAGTTTGTCAAGACTGATTGTAAGCTTTTATATGCTTTAAAATGCACTAACTCACAAAAAGTTAGAGAAATTTGGCTTTCAGGTGAAATTTATGTAAATCGTTCACGCTACAATGATAATATATCATGAAAGTAGGGCATTTAAGTAGAAGCATGCCGTGGTGATTTCATCATCTCAAACAGTTCATTGAAACAAAGCCAACAACAGTGGTGGGTAGACAACAACAAAAAATGTCAGTGTCTCAA